TAGATTTCCACCATGAAACTGATTGCCAATCTCACCCTGGGGAATAACTACATCCAGCTGCCCAGACACTCAGCAAGGCCCAACCAAGTTGACAACAATGCTAACTATCACAGGATTTGACTATTTTTTTTTCATTGTAGTTCATTTTGTTTTTTTTTAATTGTGATTTGGGTGAAAGTTTACAGAGCAAATTCATTATCTATACAGCAGTTCACCTATACTTTGTCTCATGACATTGACTGCAATTTCAACAGTGCAACAGCTCTCTTTCCACTTCCTCCTGATAGTCACCTCTTCCCTGTGTCTTCTCTGCCACACACTCCTGCCTCTGAGCTATCTCCCTGTGCACACACTGCCCTTGTATTCTCCCATGATTGATCTCTTCAAGGAGTGTATCTATCTAGTGTAAATGTTCAGCTCATATGCCTGTCTTTTGTTTGGTTGGAAGCCACAGGAGTGGGTTCAATTCCAGACCTGAAGGGCAGCTCAGGGCCATCGTGTCAGGGGTTCCACCAGGCTCTATCAGACCAGCAAACCTGGTCCCCTTTTTTTTTTTTTTTTTAATGACATTGAGTTTTGTCCCACATTGTTCTCCCACTCTATCCAGGATCTCCTACATAGATCCTCCTTCGAGTGGTTGACAGTGGTAGGCCGGGTACCATCTAGTTCTTCTGGTCTCACAGTCATATAGGCTGAGGATTGCATGGTATACCAGTTGCTAGGACTAATTGTTTCCATGAGTCTTTGGTTTTCTTCATTCTTCTTTGCTCTGAATGAGGAGAGACCCACCATTGCATATAGATGGCTGCTTGCAAGCTTTTGAAATTGCAGTCACTACTCAACAAAGAAGGATGTGGAACAAGGTTTTTGTGTAGAATGTTATGCCAATTGAGCTTGATGAGATTTGAAGATTTTTTCTATACTATTTCAGTAGTATTTTAAATTTCACTCTCTAGTTTGTTTTTTTCCTGATGTATACGAATACTTTTAGTTATTTTTTTTCTAATATGAATTTGTATCATGGACCTTGCATATATCACCTATTAATCCTAATCATTTGTAAATTATTTTGGATCTTACTTGGACACAATCATGTTGGTTGTAATTAGTGACAGTTTCATTAATTTCTTTCCATTCCTGTGCCTTTTATTTTTTTCTTACCTTATTGCACTGGCTAAGAACTCCAGTGTGATATTACATGGAAGTGTTCCTACTTGGGCATTAATTCTTCTTACCCAGTTTCAGAAAAAGGGAGGTTTTATTATTTCACCATCAAGTATACTCTCTACCGTTCTCTTCTTCATCACTATCCTGACATCTAATGCTATGGTTTAGTTTTGCCTGTTTTTGAACTGTATAAATTTGTATATGGCTCCTCTTGTTCAAAATTCTGTTTCTGAGCTTCCTCCTTGTTGGTATGTACAGCAGTGATTCATACCTTCTTTACTGCTCTGGAGTATTCCATTCTGCATATATACACCACTGTTTATTTATGCGTTCTACAGGGGCCAGGCAGCTAACAGGAGGGAAGTGGTGAAGTGTAAGGTTGTAAAGAGTGTTGGGGGACAGTGGAGACCTAGGTAATATGGGCTGGTTAAAGGAACAGTTTGTACACAATTTTAGCCTATTTTTATTATGTGCAAACATAAGCCCGGTGTTGCTGTTTTTCTGATTTCTCAAAGAAGCCAAACATTTGTATTTTTTTATTTGAAATTTCTTTCCATTTGTGAGTTAAAGTTCATAGTCCCAAGAATTCTAGGTTAACTTGGAAAGGGATTAGTGCAGGAGATCCTGGATAGAGTGGGAGAACAATGTGAAACAAAACTCAAAATAAAAAAATAGGCCAGGTTTGCTGGTCTGATAGAGCCTGGTGAGACTACTGAGACTGTAGTCCCTAGGTACCCTTCAGGAACTGAACTCACACCTGTGGCTTCCAGTCAAGCAATAGATAGGCATATGGGGTGAACATTTACATCAGGTAGATACAGTCCTTGGACGATCAGTCATGGGAGAACAGAGGGGCAGTGTTTGCACAGGGAGACAGCTGGGGTTGGGGAGGGTAGTACATGGGAGGGAAGGACACAGGGAAGAGAGGGAAGAAAGAACTGTGGGGAGGAAGTGGGACAAGGGCTGTTACATTGTGGGGAATTGCAGTCAATGTCATGAAACAAAAGTGTGTATGAAATCCTATATGGAAAATGAATTTGCTCTGTAAACTTTCACCCAAATCACAATAAAAATTTTAAAAAGAAGATAATGAAATAATTTTTTAAAAAAAAAGAAAAGAAAATGCAAGGAGGCACACACACAAAAAAAGCATCTTAGGTTAATATATAAACATACTTGAAAGCAAAACCCATTACCATAGAGTTGATTCCAACTCATAGCAACCCTATAAGCCAGAATAGAACTACCCTATAGTGTTTCCAAGCCTGTGAATATTTATGGAAGCAGACCACCTCATCTTCTTTCACGGAGCAGCTGGTGGGTTCAGACTACTGACCTTTTGGTTATCAGCCAAATGTTTAACCACTACACCAACAGGGTTCCTTAAAGGCAATAACTCATTAGTGCATTATCATTCATTAAACAGTCATTGTTGAGCCTACTGTGTGCTAGGCCCTGTGCCAGCTGGTGGTAAAGAGGAGAATTGACACTGTCTCTGTCTTTTAGGCCCTTAGAGATCATAAGAAAGGAAGACACGTAACTGTCAACTCAGCAGCTAACTGAGAGGGAATGGGACGACAAAGACAAAGTTTAGATAAGAAGGAAAAGTGGATGGATAAGAAGAAAGACCTAGACAAGGCTCTGCATACTGGAGCTGTATCTGCTGGTCACAGTTCAGTTCAGTCTGGGAAGTGGAGCCATGAGGAGTATTCACTGTTAAGAGTTAGGCTTTACTGAATGGTTGGAGGAGCTGAGGGTGGGAATGTAGAAAGAGGGAGCAGAGTCAGAGGAGGAATCACTAACCAATCTCTTGAGCACTGACCCGAGTGGACAAGTGGGCCTTTGCAGAGGAATCCAAGAAGCAAGTTCAGCTGTTGAAGTACTTTGAGAGCTCAAAAGAGGTCTATGACCATACCACCCAGAACGTTCCCAATCTCTTCTGATCTTGGAAGCTAAGCAGAGTGGGCCTAGTTGGTTCTTGGATGAGAGAGCGCACGAGAGGACTTTGGGGACAGTTGCCTCTGTGTAGCTACTGGATTCCTGGTCAGATAGGCCAGCAGCTAGGAAGATGAGCTAGATGCACAGCACAGAAGACCAAAAATGAGCTGGAACCAACCAGCCATCTCTAGTTCTATTCATCCCTATGTCTAACCTCACTGACCAAGAGCAGCAGCTGCTGCTTCCCTTCCATTTTCCCAATTTCTCAAGCAAAGTCCTCTTTTGACCAAATCTAATGCAGAACCCACTGGAGAAAGGGAAACAGTTCCCAACTTACCAAGTTGTTATGCACTATTCAGCACAAGGAACCATGTCTTGGATACTCGTGGAATAGAATTTTAAACCTGAGAAGGGACAAAACTTAAACTTTGTTCACCCTGCTGCTTGGTCAAGAGTTGGCTTGGCCTTTGTTGGGAACATAATGTGAAGCCTGTACCTTGCACACCCTTCCTTGTGTGCTGCTCACAAGGCCCCACTCATCTGCCTTGGAAGGCATCTCCCTCCTCGACCACAAAAGTAAAGTGAGGCTGGTCTCTAATACTGCAAAAACAAGGCACCGCAGATTGTAAAATGATAAAAACCTTGTGAAGTTGTCATTGTATATCCCTTTTAGGATGAATTGTGATAGCATATCCCGTGGTAAAAACAAGAGTAAAATAATTCTGAGAAGTGCGAAACAGTCATCCTTTTTCTAAATGACTTACTCCAACAGACAGGTTGGTGGCTTTTAATCACTGGCCTCCTGTGGACACCAAGCTCTTTTCACATTAGATAGTGGCATGCACTGCCTCCTCCTTCCATCACTGTCCCCAGTCACCAGTATGAAAAACAGAGAGTCTGAGAGAGGGTAAGAGCCTACCCAAAGTCAGACAACTAGTAAGGAACAGGACTGATATTTGAACTCAGGTTGGAAATTCTGAAGGATACCTGGAGACTGAAAAGTTCCTACAGGTGAGCTACCAAGGAGCTCTGTGGTAAGGTGAGCCACTGCAGCTGCATTACAATAAGGGGCAGGGCTCCCAGTCTGTTTGGACCACTGTGGATAGTAATTTTTTTCCTTCTCCCTCCCTTCTTTCTTCTTTTCTCACATTTCTTCTCTCCCTCTGCTTTCTCTCTGAGGTGTGCATGGCCTCCCCTCTTTTTCTCTCACTCTCCTTTTCTTTGTAATAGAATCATAGTATATCTTCCACCTATTCAGCAACTGATGAGCCCTATCCAATGAGCAAATCCAGGCACATGCAAGGAGGCTGTGTGGATGCACCCAAACACAGCCCCTATTCTTAAGGAGTGTCTGCTTCACTTTCAGTTTTGTAGTGGGAAGAAGCTTCTCCTATTCATGGGAATTGTCTTTGCAGCTAGTAGGATCACCTCTTCTCCTTGATCACACTTCTGCTCTGATAGTGGCTGTGAAAATAATTAAAGCAGGAAGAGGCTGAGAGAGGCAGGCAGTCCCAGGGCAGAACTGCCATGTTACTCCCAGTATTCACACCTGTGGCTGCTGTATAGTCCTGCTGTAGCCAGTCAGAGGCACCAAACACATATTTTTCTGAAGCAGGGGTGGGTATTTGGGGACAACTTTTTGTTATTCCTCCCACAACTCCCTACCCCAGCACCCCAATAATCTCATTTGATGGTGGGACTAGAATCGCCATGGGCCTGGCTCCTAACCCTTGTATGTGATGGAAAGCATCCCTATGGGGCATGTCCTGCCTCTGCCACTGCCAGACCCTCCTGTTGCCACCATGCTGTATGAGTGACCATGCTGGGACAGCTCCAGTGCATCTGGGCCTCCGTGGTCCTAAGCCCAGCTGATGGTTTCTCTTCTCTCTCTCCAGGGCCAGGTGTGGATTAATGGCTTTAACCTGGGCCGCTATTGGCCTGCACGGGGCCCCCAGATGACCTTGTTTGTGCCACAACATATCCTGGTGACCTCGGCCCCAAACAACATCACGGTGCTAGAACTGGAGCGTGCACCCTGCAGCAGCATGGGCCCTGAACTGTGTGCTGTGGAGTTTGTGGACAAGCCAGTGATGAGCACAACTAAAATGCTGCCTAATCAGAATTCATGGCTGGAACATGTATGATGACTAAAGACTGTGATCCTGCACATACCTCGCAGATCTTCCTTTTAATGGACACATTCACTGGAGAGTTTTCGTGGGAAATAAATGTAGGGTAGATGTTTTCACCTGAGGTTTCCCTGCAGCCTCGGGATCCACCATGACTTATGATGGAGATAATAGCATGGTGTCCCCACACGGATCTGCAGAGTTAGAATGAAAACTTTCAGTGTATTTCTGATTTTTATTTTGGAAGAATCATGTCTTTTTGCTAAATAAAATTTGTACTCAACTGATGTTGTTGCTGTTTCTAACATTGAACAGGTACTATATACTGTGATTTAAATCATACTTATACTTAAGAGAGAAGAGCCCTGGTGGTGCAGTGGTTAAACACTCCGCTGCTAATAGGATTGGCCGTTGAAACCCACCAGCCGCTCCACAGGAAAAAGATGTGGCGATCTGCATCCATAAAGATTTACAGCCTTGGAAACCCTATGGGGCATTTCTACCCTGTCCCATAGGGTCACTATGAGTCAGAATCCACTTGATGCCAGAGGATTTGGTTTTTTACTGCAGTAGGCTTAATAAACCACTTCACTCATTTGATATTTTCACCATTAGGAAATAGCCTTGGTTCAATCTGGTGGGCTGCTGCTTTTCTGATCCTTATTTGACTTCTTTTTCCGTTTCTGTGATACCTACTACATAGCCCATAAATCTAATTCAGAATAAGGAATATGCAAATCAAAATTGGAGCATGTGCATTCTGCAGTTCATACTAGTAGGATACTATGCAGCCATTAAGATACTGATGCAGCCCTTCATTTGTATGAAAGTACTTTCATGACATGGTGTGTGAAAAAAATAAGATTACCCTAAATTTGATCCCCTTTTTATGTTTACACATAAGAACTGCATCTGCTCCACACAGGCCTGTACATGTAGTCAACACACATATACACACACGTGCATATGTCATGTATGTACATATATGTGCAGGTAGATGGCATTGCATTTTATATGTTTAACTCACCTGTGACAAGAGGAGTCCCTGGGGAGTACAAACATGCTTGCCTGCTAACTGAGAGGTTGGAATTTCAAGTCCACCCAGAGGCACTTCAAAAGAAAGAGTTGGCAATCTACTTCTAAAACATCAGCAATTAAGACCCCTGTGGAACACAGGTCTGCTCTGACACACATGGGATCACCTTGAGTCAGAATCGACTCAACATCTGATTTTGCTTATCTCTCACAAGAGCTCTTGTCCCTAATTTACCAGTGAGGAAACTTTGGCACATGGAGATGAAGTAACTTACTCAAGGTCATATAGCTGTAAGTGGGAGAGATGAGGTTTGAACCCAGGTGGTCTGGGTACACACTGCATACATAGGAAACTAATACACGTTTGTGTTTACATAAGGTCCCTGGATGGCCCAAATGGTTTGCACTGAGCTACTAGCCTAAAGGGTGTCGGTCTGAAGCTATCCCTCAGTGCTGTGCAAGAAAGGCCTGGTGATCTGCTTCCATGTACCGTGCAACACATGGAGCCGTCATGAGTTGGAATCAACTAAACAGCAATGGTTTGGTTTTGTGTTTACATGAGAAAGGTTTGGAACAACATAAAGATGTTAATATGATTATATCTGGGTGGTAAGCATCTGGGAAATTGTTTAATTTTTCCTTTTTTGCTTAGCTCTATTTAAATTTTTATAGAGAACTTGTAATTTTTGTAAAGGGGAAGAAAGAGCTTTGACACAACAGTATATTGTCCCCTCTCTTGTAGGCATGAAAGGAGCTCTGGTAGTATAGTGGTTAAAGCATTTGGCTGCTAACAAAAATGGTCAGCAGTTTAAGCCTATCAGCTCCTCCATTGGAGAAAGACAAGGCAGCTCTGCTTGCCCTATGGGGCAGTTCTACTCTGGCAGTGGGTTTTGTAGGCATAAACATTAAATGTCTGGGAGTCAGTAGGAAATTTCTAAACTCTGATTAAGTCATCTATAGGAAGTATATACAAATTGAGACAAATTGAGGCTATAAACTTTCTTTAAGACTCTTTTATAGCATTTTTTCTAGATATTCTTTGTCATTTGATGTTTGGGTATTGTATTAGTTTTCTAATGCTGCAGTAAGAAGTTACTACAACCTGGGTAGCTTAAAACAACAGGAAATTTATTCTTTCACAGTTCCAGAGGCCAGAAGTATGGAATCACGGTGTCTGTGACATGGCAGAGCCATGCTCCTTCTGAAGGCTTTGAAGGAAAACCCTTCTTTGATCATGCCAGCTTCTGAAGGCTCTAGTGGTAAGGGTTCCTTGGCTTGTTCTTGCATAACTCCAGTCTCTGCCTCCATATTCACATGGCCATTTCCTCTCTGTCTTCTGTCTGTGTCAAATCTCCCTCTGCCTTTCTCATATAACGACACTTGTCATTGGATTTAGGGCCTGCTGGATAATCCAGGATGATCTCATCTTGAGATCTTTAATTACATCTACAAAGACAATTTCTGCACATAAGGTCAAATACACGGGTTCTAGAAGCTAGGAAAGGCACCTTGGTGGCACAGTGGTTAAAGTATTCAGCTCCCAACCAAAATGTCAATGGTTTGAACCCACCAGCCTGTCCTCAGGAGAAAGACAGGCAGTCTGCTTCCACAAAGATTTACACCCTCAGAAACCCTACGGGGCAGTTCTGTTCTGTCCGAAAGTGTCGGTATGAGTCAGAATTGACTCAAAGGCAGTGGCTGTGGTTTTTGGTTTTTAATAGGGCTTAGGACATGGACATAGCTTTTTGAGGACTACCTTTCAACCCTTCAGGAGCTCTGGTAGCACAGTGACTAAGGCATCTGACTGCTAACCAGAAGGTTGGTGGTTCAAACCTACCAGCCACTCTGTGGAAGCAAGACTGTGTGTGCAATCTACTTCCATAAAGATTTACCACCTTGGAAACCCAGTGGGGGTCACTATGAGTCAGAATTGACTAGATGGCAGTGGGTTTGGTTTTGGTTTTGAATCCATGACAAGCATCCTCTCTTTGATGGTAACCCACACAGGCTTTGCCCATCAGCGTTTACAGAGGATCTATAACACAGGGTGAAGGAGGTACTACAGGGGTCCACAGCCTCATTTCATTACTCTTTCTTCCACTAAGTTACTAAAAACATAAAATGAAACCCAAGAGCTATGCCCAAATAGTGATAAACCTTGGAAAGAAATTTGAGGTGAATCCTTTTTTGTTGTTTTAATTTTATTGTGGTTTAATATATATAACAGAATTTGCCATTTTAACCACTTATTTAAGTGTGCATCAATTACATCGAGATGATGCCTGTTAAATCATTGTATATATTGGTAAATTGCACCTTCTCTTGCCTCAGAGACAAGCCTGGAGTCTCCAGAGGCACAGGTAGAGGAATGGGTTCATCTCATGGGAGCATACACCTCTCTTACATTTTCTTATCTTCAGAACCACACTAAGGTAGGTAGCAGTAAGTCCATTTTACAGATGAAAGCATTTAGCTTAACTGATAAGCAGAGTTGGATTCAAATTTGGTTTACCTGTTCTATCTCCCTCCAAAGCCAGAGTGTTTTGTCTTGTCAGCAAAACAGAATCTTAATATATAAGTGGAACCACCGTGGATTCCACTCATAACCCATCCAACTCTGTGCCACCTTGATGGCATTATTTTGCCTTACAAAATATCAGTCTTCAAATAAGATGTGCCTTTAATCAGTCCTGACTTCCCTGAATAACCTACCTCAGATCTGTCCATCCATTAATTAATTTAAAACTTAACTACCTGGATGCCACCTCTGACAATAATAAGAATAGTATTTATTGTGTATTGTATAAACCTTTTATATTAAATCTACCTTTGTTGTTGTTGTTATGCGCCGTGGAGTCGGACCCAATTCATAGTGACCCCTCCTTGGGTTTCCGAGGCAGTATCACTATGGAAGTAGATTACCCAACTTCCTTCCGAGGAGTGGCTGGTGGGTTTGAACCACCAGCCTCCTGGTTAGCAGTCAAGTGCCTTAGGCACCTTTAAGGTGATTTTATATTTCAGAATTTCCTGAACAAGCCCATACTAGCCCACCCATAACACTGATGGTATTAGAATGCTATCATATTCTCATTCATCTTTCTGATGAACATTGTAGCCTTCATGCCTGTATTTCCTTGCCCATGGACTAGTTTCTGTCTTTATTAGTTGTTGCTGATTGTGTCGAGTGTATTCCAACACCTGGTGACCCCATGTCTGTGGAGTAGAACGCTCCATAGGGTTTTCAAGGCTGTGACCTTTCAGAAGCAGATTGCCAGGCTTGTCTTCCAGGGTGCCTCTGGGTAGGTTTGAACCACCAACCTTTTAGCTTGTAGTTAAGCACTTAATCATTTATGCCACCCAGGGACTCCTGGTCTCACTAAAGAAGACACGAATACATTGCCAGATATGGCGGATAGGCAAAGTGTATTAGTTTCTTGCAGCTGTCATAACAATTACACAAACTTGATGGCTTAAACCAAACTTATTGCCATTGACTCAATTCCGACTGATAGCGACCCTATAAGACAGTGTAGAACTGCCCCATTGGGTTCCCAAGGGTGTAATCTTTACAAGAGCAGATTGCATCATCTTCCTTCTGCGGAGCAGCTGGTGGGTTCGAATTATGTACATTTCAGTTAGTAGCTGAATGCTTAGCCACTGTGCCGCCAAGTCTCCTTTAAAGCAACAGACGTTTATTCTCTCACAGTTCTAGAGGCTGGAAGTCTGAAATTTAGTGGGCCTGCACTCCCAGGGACTCTAGGGGAGGAGCCTTCCTTGCCTGCTCCAGCTCTGGTGACTGTAGGGATTTCTGGGTTTGTGGTAGCATCATTCCAATCTCTGTCACCATCTCTGTGTGTCTGTGTGAAATCTTCCTTTATCATATAAAGGACACTTGTCATGGGGTTTAGGAGTTCCTGGGTGGAACAGTCAGAAGGAAGGTTGGGCAATCTACTTCCGTAGTGATACTGCCTCAGAAACCC